TATCCCAGTTACATTATATTCACTTATTATCATGTTTTTATAAAACCATATAGACTGCACAACGTCACACCCTCCTATGGCAGGGCCATAAAATTTGCTGCACAGTGATGTATTGACTTTTGAAACAGCTGCATCTGGAGCAACCTGGCAGTAAGATCAAGTTCTTACTGGGATTGAGAGAGAAGTGAGCACAAGAAGTCTGGAGAAAGTAGCACCAAAAGGCAGATTTTAAACACCAAAGCACTCAGCGACACATTTTTTTTTAAACAAAAAAGAAGAAAAAGAAGAAGAAAGGAAATGGCAGAAAAGGGAGAAGAGAGGAAAAGAGGATGAGAACAAGAAAGATGATATTCATATACACCTCTACCCTGACATAATGCTGTCCTCGGGAGCCAAAAAATCTTATTGGGTTATAGGTGAAACCGCATTATATCGAACTTGCTTTGATCCGCCAGAGCGCGCAGTCCCCCCCCCCCCCCGAGCACTGCTTTACCGCGTTATATCCGAATTCGTGTTATATCGGGTCGCGTTATATCAGGGTAGAGGTGTAGTTGGTATTTTAGCCACTGTAACCCCTAGGTCATTTTCTGCAGAACTGCTGCCTAGCCACTTGGTCCCTAGTCTCTAGCAGTGCATGGGATTCTTCCGTCCTAAGCCTATATGTCTATACATTGTAGTGTCTATATATTGTGTATAGTCTAAGAGTCTATATATTGTAGCTGGGATCAAGCCTCCCAGCCCATGGTGACAGATTTGTGCTGGGGGGCTCTAGCTAGTGCACTAAAAATGGTGGATGTTCTGCAGTGTGGATGTTACAGCTTGGGCAGCAGCTTGGCCTCTCCTAGTTTGGATGGCTAGCTTGTGGGAGCTGCAACATCCACACTGCTATCCTTAGCGTGCTACTCGAGCCCTTCTAGCTTAAGTTTGTCTGGCAGGCTGGCAGACTAATCCTCTCACTTGTGTCTGTAGCAAAAATCTCTCTCCCTCCACCCCTACCATATTCAGGTGACATTTCAAAGCCTCTAAACATTTGCAAGATAAAGCTTACATCTGTATTGTACTTGAGAGCTGAAACTGATATCTGCTGACAATGAATTTTTCCCATGGCATCATCTGCTCAGAGACACCTACCTGAAAGTTCACATTCTTTTCCATATTTGGAATTACTCCAATAAAATATTCAACCTGTCAGGATCATTTATCTATAGCTTTCTGTTTTTGTAACTTTTTTAAAGTCCTATCTTGTAGTGCTTCCAATTGGCCTGGTTTAGCAGCTGCTAGTTCCACCTATTTAATGACCATGTTTGACAGCAGCAATTGTGACACTTGTAACCTGGATTCAGCTCCTGAACCAATGAGAGAGGCGACACTATATTTCCTCCAGTTA